GCAGCCTGGCTGGCACCGTGCCATGTTCCCTCGCCATGCTCCTCTCCCGGGCCGTGGGCCCAGCCACGCACCCAGAGGCCACCGCAGGACCCTTCTGCTGCTGGGCAAAGCATCCCGCAGCTGGGGTGCCTTCCCTCCCCACTCTCTGCCTCTCACACTCTCTCTGTCTCTGCACAGACAATCTCTGGAGCGACCAGAGCCTGGAGACAGACCCCGACCTCCCCCCAGGCTGGAGGAAAATCTGTGACTCTCTGGGCACCTACTACTGGCATGTGCCGACGGGCACGACGCAATGGCAGCACCCTGCACGCACCACCAGCCCAGGAGGGCACCCGGAGGCTGATGGAGAGGAGACACTACAGGGAAGGGTAGGAGATGTGGGTACAGGGGGTGGTGGCTGGTGTTGGACCCCACCCCTGGCAGAAGCTTGCTGAAGGGCCCTCTGGGCCAGCCTCCCCTTGGAGCAGGCCTGTCTCTGTCATCCCAAAGTCCTGCTCAGCCCATTTCTGGTCAGGGCTAAGCCCCTTGAAAGGCTCCTGCAGACTCCGTGTTGATTTTAGGTGCATCCTGGCCACACAGAATGCACACAGGCCTGTTGCTGTCCTGGGAGGGAGGGCTCCTACCTGGTGCCTCCTGACAGACTGTCTTGTTGCCCTCTCTTTCCTCCTGTCTCCCAGGAATGCCAGGCCCCCGGAGTGAAGCACTCGGCGAAGGATAGGCCCATTCCCAGCCCCATGGCTTCGCTGACCAGGAGGTAGGGCTGCCCTGGTGCTCTGCTGGCTTGTTTATGGGGCACTACTGATCCTTCACCACCACTGGGTGCTTGGCCCCAGCGCCCTCCCAGAGCAGCCCCCCGTGCTGGAACCAGCAGCACCATCCCCATGGAATGCTTCCCAGCTGGTGGCACAGGGGTATGGTGGTGCCAGGGCATTCCTGGCGCTTCCCTGGGTGCCCCAGGGACCACGCAGAGGGAGCTGCCCCTCACTGCCCTGTCCCTCTGCAGGCCCTCGCTGTCCTGGCACGGAGAGGACATCCAGCACAGCGCAGAGCCCGGCTCCAAGGTACCGCATCCCCCGGCTCCGCTACCGCATCGTGGGCTGGGGCTGGCAGGGGAGGAGGCGAGTGGCAGCTGGCAGGGACGTGGATGGGTGGGAGCCAGAGCAGGGGTGACCCTGCTGGCACGGCGAGGGGTGTGGGGGGAGGTGGCTTTGCCAGCGGGCACCCAGCGTGTCTCTGCTCAGTGCTTTGCCGTGCGCTCGCTGGGCTGGGTGGAGATCCCCGAGGAGGACCTGGCACCGGGCAAGAGCAGCATTGCCGTCAACAACTGCATCCAGCAGCTCTCCAACAGCAAGGGCCAGGGCTCTGCGGAGAACCGGGGTGAGGTGAGAGCCTGGGACGGGGCTGCCAGGCAGGGGCCCGCTCCAGGGCTGCTGCTGCTGAGGCTGGATTGTGCTGGGAGGGAGCAGGGATCAGTGCCAGAGGCAGTCCACTCTCCACACAGGGTATCCATGTGATGGTTTCAGGTGTGGGACAGGTAGGTCTCACAGGGCTGTTCCTTGGGGACAGTGCCAGGAGTGCCTGGTGGGTCCCCACACATGGGAATGGTACCTGGGAAGGGCAGGGGTGGGAATCAGAGCTGTTCCTGTGCCTGGAGCTGATTAGGCTGGGGGGACAGGGGTGTCCCAACCCATGAGCTGGGTTCTGGGGAAGCCCAGGCTGTCTGCCAGGCTGAGGGAGCTGCTGCCCCTCTGCAGGGCCAGGACCTGGTGATGATCCTGAAGAAGGACACCATGAGCCTGGTGGACCCCCTTGATCGCAGCCTCATCCACCGCCAGCCCATCCTCAACATCCGTGTCTGGGGCGTTGGCTGCGACAACGGCAGGTGCTGGGGCCAGGGCAGAGCTGGGGCTGGGGGTGGCTCTGCCTGCTTAGGGGGAAGGCACCCCAGCAGTGACCTGTCCCCTCTCCTCCCTCCCCGACTGCCACCGTGGCTGCAGGGACAGGTAAGGGGGCACAGGGCTGGGGGGCAGTGCAGGGAAGGGGCTCTGTCAGGGTCTCACTGGCTTGCTCGTGGCCGTGCAGAGACTTCGCCTTCGTGGCCAGTGACAAGGACACCTGCGTCCTCAAGTGTCACGTCTTCCACTGCAACGTGCCCGCCAAGGGCATCGCCAAGGCCCTGCATGAGATGTGCTCCAAGGTGGGATTTTAAAGGGGCCTCGTTGGGTGTGAGCACAGCCTGGGGGTCTCGGGGGTGAGGGGAGGCACCAGGAC